ATCCAAATGCACTCTAGCAAACTTCAGACGGGCCTGGACATGTACTGGCTTAAGCAGGGGGACACGTCTGGCACTGCAGGATTTGAGTCCCTGGCGGCGTAGTGTGTTACTGATGGTAGGCTGTGTTACTTTGGTCCCAGCTCTCCTAAGGTCATTCACTAGGTCCCCCCGTGTGGTTCTGGGATTTTTGCTCACCGTTCTTGTGATCATTTTGACCCCACGGGGTGAGATCTTGCGTGGAGTCCCAGATCGAGGGAGATTATCAGTGGTCTTGTATGTCTTCCATTTCCTAATAATTGCTCCCACAGTTGATTTCTTCAAACCAAGCTTACCTATTGCAGATTCAGTCTTCCCAGCCTGGTGCAGGTCTACAATTTTGTTTCTGGTGTCCTTTGACAGCTCTTTGGTCTTGGCCATAGTGGAGTGTGGAGTGTGACTGTTTGAGGTTGTGGACAGGTGTCTTTTATACTGATAATAAGTTCAAACGGGTGCCATTAATACAGGTAACGAGTGGAGGACAGAGGAGCCTCTTAAAGAAGAAGTTACAGGTCTGTGAGAGCCAGAAATCTTGCTTGTTTGTAGGTGACCAAATACTTATTTTCCACCATAATTTGCAAATAAATTCATTAAAAATCCTACAATGTGATTTTCTGGAGAGAAAAAAATCTCAATTTGTCTGTCATAGTTGACGTGTATCTATGATGAAAATTAGAGGCCTCTCTCATCTTTTTAAGTGGGAGAACTTGCACAATTGGTGGCTGACTAAATACTTTTTTTCCCCACTGTATAACAGCCGCCACTCTTCCGGGAAGGCTTTCCACAAGATTTTGGGGTGTGTCTGTGGGGCACAGTCATGCTGGAAAAGGAAAGGGCCTTCCCCAAACTGTTTCCACAAAGTCGTAACGGGTCCGCGGTCAAACGACCACCCCTCATCACTGTCAAACGCTCACTAAAACACTTTAGTGAGCAGGCCTTCATAATTGACCTGGCCCAGGTATCCTGGATGGATATCGATCTCATTCCGTCAGTAGAGGATGCCTGGTTGTTCTTTAAAAGTGCTTTCCTCTCAATCTTAAATAAGCATGCCCCATTCAAAAAATTCAGAACTAAGAACAGATATAGCCCCTGGTTCTCCTCAGACTTGACTGCCCTTGACCAGCACAAAAAACATCCTGTGGCGTACTGCATTAGCATCGAATAGCCCCTGCGATATGCAACTTTTCAGGGAAGTTAGGAACCAATATACACAAGCAGTTAGGAAAGCAAAAGGCTAGCTTTTTCAAACAGAAATGTGCATCCTGTAGCACTAACTCCAAAAAGTTTTGGGACACTGTAAAGTCCATGGAGAATAAGAGCACCTCCTCCCAGCTGCCCACTGCACTGAGGCTAGGAAACAATAATAAATAAATACATCTACAGTAATCGAGAACTTCAACAAGCATTTTGCTACGGCTGGCCATGCTTTCCACCTGGCTACCACTACCCCGGCCACCAGCTCTGCACCCTCCGCTGCAACTTGCCCTCACAGTTGAAGTGTACCTATGATAAAAATTACAGACCTCTACATGCTTTGTAAGTAGGAAAACCTGCAAAATCGGCAGTGTATCAAATACTTTGTTCTCCCCACTGTATATCCATCCTGCCCTGCCTTTCGAAAGTTTTTGAAAGCGAAGTTAACAAACAGATCACCGACCATTTCGAATCTCACCGTACCTTCTCCGCTATAAAATCCGGTTTCGGAGCTGGTCATGGGTGCACCTCAGCCACGCTCAAGGTCCTAAACGATATTATAACTGCGATCGATAATAGACAATACTGTGCAGTCGTCTTCATCGACCTGGCCAAGGCTTTCGACTCTGTCAACCACCGCATTCTTATTGGCAGACTAAATAACCTTGGTTTCTCAAATGACTGCCTCGCCTGGTTCACCACTTCTCAGATAGAGTTAAATGTGTCAAATCGGAGGGCCTGTTGTCTGAACCTATGGCAGTTTCTATGGGGGTGCCACAGGGTTCAATTCTCGGGGCGACTCTTTTCTCTGTGTATATCAATGATGCCGCTCTTGCTGCTGGTGACTCTCAGATCCACCTCTACGCAGACGACACCATTTTGTATACATCTGGCCCTTCATTGGACACTGTGTTAACAAACCTCCAAACGAGCTTCAATGCCATACAACACTCCTTCCGTAGCCTTCAACTGCTCTTAAACACTAGCAAAACTAAATGCATGCTCTTCAATCGAACGCTGCTGGCACCCGCCCACCCGACTAGAATCACTACTCTCGGCGGGTTTGACCTAGAGTATGTGGACAACTACAAATACCTAGGTGTCTGGTTAGACTGTAGACTCTCCTTCCAGACTCACATTAAGCATCTCCAATCCAAAGTTAAATCTAGAATCAGCTTCCTATTTCACAACAAAGCCTCCTTCACTCATGCTGCCAAACATGCCCTCGTAAAACTGACTATCCTACCGATCCTTGACTTCGGCGATGTTATTTACAAAATAGTCTCCAACACTCTACTCAGCAAATTGGATGTAGTCTATCACAGTGCCATCTGTTTTGTCACCAAAGCCCCATATACTACCCACCACTGTGACCTGTACGCTCTTGTTGGCTGGTCCTCACTACATATTCGTCGCCAAACCCACTGGCTCCAGGTCATCTATAAATCACTGCTAGGCAAATCCCTGCCATATCTTAGCAACACCCACCCGTAGTATGCGCTCCAGCAGGTATATCTCACTGGTCTTGGAAATATTTTACTGCTTTTTACAAAACTTTGAAACTTTGAAATATTTAGCTGGCCTTTTAAATATTTCACATGCCTTTGAAAACTTTGGATGCCGAAATATTTCTCAGGCTTTAAAAATATGTCGCTTCTTTGAAAAATGTCTCTGGTTTTTGAAATATTTCAGCTTTTTACAAAACTTTGCACACCTAACTATTTCTCAGGGCTTTAAAATATTTAGCTGGCCTTTGAAGATATTTCACATGCCTTTGAAATATTTCACATGCCTTTGAAATATTTAGCTTCTTTGAAATATTTTGCAGGTCTTAGAAATATTTTGCAGGCCTTTTAAATATTTTGCTGGCCTATTAAATATCTCACAGGCCTTTTAAATTTTTTGCTGGCCTTTTAAATATTTAGCAGTCCTTTTAAATATTTTGCAGGTCTTTTACCAAATTTTGCTAGGCTTTGAAATATTTTGCAGCTCTTTGAAATATTTTGCTTCTTTGAAATGTTTTGCAGGTCTTTGAAATATTTCACAGCTCTTTGATATATTTTGCAGCTTTTTACAAAACTTTGCTCGCCTACATATTTCTCAGGGCTTTGAAATATTTCGCTGGCCAAAGATTTTGCAGCCTTTTCCCAAATGTACCAATAGTTTGCTGGTCTTGAAAATATTTTGCATATCTTTGAAATATTTAGCAGGCCTTTGACATATTTTGCTGGTCTTTGGAATATTTTGCAGGCCTTTGAAATATTTTGCAGTTTTTAAAAAAATATTTCGCAGCACTTTGAAATATTTAGCAGGCCTTTGAAATATTTTGCTTCTTTTAAATATTTTGCTGGCCTATTAATTATTTCGCAGGCCTTTGAAATGTTTTGCAGGACATTTACCAAATTTCGCAGGCCTTTGAAATAATTTGCAGGACATTTACCAAATTTTGCAGGCCTTTGAAATATTATGCAGCTTTTTAACAAACTAGCAGCCCGAAATATTTTGCTGCCTTTACCAAATTTCGCAGGACTCTGAAATATTTTCGAGCCTTTTACCTAATTTTGCAGGCTTTTACCAAACTTTGTAGACCTTTAAAATATTTTGAAGCCTTTTACCAAACTTAGCAACTTATTATTTTGAAAGGTTGTTTGCCACTTAGGGCCACGGTTGTAGAGGGCTGTAGTAACTGCGGGTCCCGAAAGAGATCATTGCGCCATGGTTGGCATTTTTCATGCTGCAGTTGGGAGCGGGCGGTCAGATCAGACAATTTTGGGATTCAAATATGTTGTTGTCCTGCAGTTTATTTGGAAATGGTCGTCTTTCTGCTTTGTATGCGTTAGATTACCTATTGTTTTAAAAGCACATCTTTGTCACATTATTCACACAATTGGAATTCGCTACTTCAAGTTAAGTAGCCTACCTCTCCTATCCTAGTTGGGCGTGCGAGATCAAGTGTGCCTAGTATATGTGTGGTCTCAATTAATTAGAGTAGGCTGCCAATGCATGGGCGGAGAAGTTATCTTTCCAAGGACATTTACTTCCTAAATATGATTAAACTATAGTTTACTACATTGCCTAGAAATAAATATTGATCACCCATATTTGTCTCCGTCTGAAAATCGTCCCACTCCTACAAAGTAGGCTATAAAACGTAGCTCAAGAGAAAGTGCAAGTCTCTCCAACTCGGCTCTCTTCAAACTAACGTTACGTCTAGCCTATTCGCAGATATAGCTCAGTAATACCGAAAGAAAATCAGATAGAAAATAATCGCTATTTTGACTGCCTGTATGTGTCTTGCTTGTGTTTGATATGCTTGCCTAAATATACTGTTACAACAGACAACAAACCCGTGCCAATATATCCTCCAGTCACCGGCTTCTCGGGCATTATCACTTAAGTGCTGACCCTCCTGTCCAGAATATAGCAGAGAACTGGATTGTTGCGACCATCAGGTGGCGCAAAGGCATAGATGTGACGAATTTGTAAGTATTAAGTCATTGATTTATTTACATAGCCAAAAAACGGACAGCCCTCGGAGGACAACCCCTTGAAATGATGACTGTGATGAAAAACCATAATTAGTTTCTCAGTTATTATTTGAAGAGCATTTACAGAGTGAAGGTTTGATGGATCTATAAAAGATCTTGAAGGCGAATTTTAACGTAGCATTATTAGGGCAGACGGTCAGTGATCTTGTGTGTGCGGATGCACTGCGCGCTTCGCTTTCTGATGAGACATACTCGGCTCTACAACACACAGATCCTGTAAA